CAATAGAATTTGCCGTGGTACAATTCCCAAGACAACATCCCCATTAAAATTCACCGTGGTGAATTTACCCAAATCAACATCCCCAATAGAATTTGCCGTGATAAATCGTGGTGAATTCCCAACATCCCCATAAGCACACTACTGTTGGGTCCTTTTAAAAATCTTAAAAAAATCCACGTTTATTTTCGATATTGAGTCCTTTGAAAAATCTTTAAAAAATCTACGTTTATTGTTGATGTTGGGTCATTTCGAGAATCTTTAAAAGATGAACGTTTAGATGTCTATTTTGGTCCTTTAAAAAATCCACATTTATTGTCGATATTGGATTGGAAACTCGTTAAAAAAATCCACGTTTATTGTCTTCTCTGGGTCCTTCTAAAAATCTTTAAAAATCCACGCCTATTTTCGATATTGGGCCCTTTTGAAAATCTTTAAAAAATCTAGATTTATTGTCGATATAAGTCCTTAAAAAATCTTTAAAAAATCCAGATTTATTGTCGAAATAGGGTCCTTAAAAAATCTTCAAAAAATCCACGTTTATTGTCGATAATGGGTCCTTTTAAAAATCTCTGAAAATCCAAGTTTACTGTCGATAATGGGTCCTTTTAAAAATCTTTAAAAAATCCACGTTTAGAGGTCTTTTTGGGTTCTTTTAAACGTTTACTGTCGATATTTGGTCCTTTTAAATTTTTTTAAAAAAAACCAAGTTTATTGTCGATATTTGGTCCCTTTAAAAATTTTTAAACAATCCAAGATTATTGTCGATAATGGGTCCTTTAAAAAATCCGTAAAAAATAAACGTTTATTGTCGATGGTGAGTCCTCTAAAAAATCTCTACAAATTCCACGTTTATTGTCCTCATTTTGCGGCCATTGGGCTCATGTACCAATACTTCATTCTCGACCCTCGTTCTGCAATTTTCCTATTGTACACATGCCATTTCTTTATTAGACTCAATCTGTTTAATACCACACCGCCAACTAACCAACCAACCAGCCAACAACCATCAATGCGATATTGTTACTTTTCCCTACACATTCACGTAAGCAATATTAAAGTCTACTTTTAGGCGCTTTAAATGCAGCTGTTTGTTATTTGTTTTTACGCTTTCATTTATAACACCATTTCTTCAGTAATGGCACTGGCACTGCTCTGGCTATGCATTTAAAGTTTTATATGCTCTGCCGGGTCCTACGTCCGCTCCTCAAGAAATCCACCGCCATTCAACGATTTCTTTTTCCTTTGGCCAGGAGTCAGCTTGCAATTTTGTATGCAGCTATGTCACGTTTTACGGTTTTCTTTTGCCATATCCCTGGCATTGTGTTGTTTGCTTTTTTTCTGTTATTTTTGTTGTTGTTGACCAAGTCCAGATTCATTTCGTCGTTTCTTTGACTATTTTTTCATTGTTTTCCTTACGATTCGTTCTTTTTTTTTGTTTTCTCTTTTGTATTTGAGTTGTGCTTTTTTCGGCAGATACGTGTGTGTGCGTGCGTCCATGACTCCTGGAAATGGTGTACGCTTATCTTGACTTGTTGTTGTTGTATTTGCCAAAGGATGTGATTTCTGGTAGTACGATGTGTTCGGATTACTTTCTTTTGTAAGATTACTGTGATTTTTTTGTTTTCGGAGAGCTTCGTTTTTGTTTTTTATTCGAATTTCTCTGGAAGCTGGGCTATAAGACCGAAAATGTTCGTCTAAAAGGATTTGTTTGAGACAAATTGTTTGACTATCTGTTTTTGAGCTTCCTCTTTGGAGTCTCTATGAAGTAAAGTCATATTTTTTCCTTCGTTGTTTTTTAGTTTTTTTTAGGAGGATGGGTTAAGAATGGTCTAGGATTTTAATAAAACATCGCTTGGGGAGTTGTAAAAGAAAAGAATAAATTGCAACGCCTTTTGAACGCAGTTCGTACGGCAATTCAATAGATTTTGATTACTTTTTATTTTATTGTAAACAAAAAACCTGATTTTTTAAAGAATATTTTTTCAAGGCCCATCAGATGATGAAACGTGGATTTTTTAAAGAATATTTTTTCAAGGACCATCCGAACAAGAAACGTGGATTTTTTAAAGAATATTTTTTCAAGGACCATCCGAACAAGAAACGTGGATTTTTTAAAGAATATTTTTTCAAGGACCAAAAGACTAAGAAACGTGGATTTTTTAAAGAATATTTTTTCAAGGACCATCCGAACAAGAAACGTGGATTTTTTAAAGAATATTTTTTCAAGGACCAAAAGACTAAGAAACGTGGATTTTTTAAAGAATATTTGTTCAAGGACCAAAAGACTAAGAAACGTGGATTTTTTAAAAAATATTTTTTCAAGGACCAAAAGACTAAGAAACGTGGATTTTTTAAAGAATATTTTTTCAAGGACCAAAAGACTAAGAAACGTGGATTTTTTAAAGAATATTTTTTCAAGGACCACAATACTAAGAAACGTGGATTTTTTAAAGAATATTTTTTCAAGGACCAAAAGACTAAGAAACGTGGATTTTTTAAAGAATATTTTTTCAAGGACCACTAGAGCAAGAAACGTGGATTTTTTAAAGAATATTTTTTCAAGGACCACAAGACTAAGAAACGTGGATTTTTTAAAGAATTTTTTTTCAAGGACCAAAAGACTAAGAAACGTGGATTTTTTAAAGAATATTTTTTCAAGGACCACAAGACTAAGAAACGTGGATTTTTTAAAGAATATTTTTTCAAGGACCAAAAGACTAAGAAACGTGGATTTTTTAAAGAATATTTTTTCAAGGACCACAAGACTAAGAAACGTGGATTTTTTAAAGAATATTTTTTCAAGGACCAAAAGACTAAGAAACGTGGATTTTTTAAAGAATATTTTTTCAAGGACCATCCGAACAAGAAACGTGGATTTTTTTCAAGGACCATCCGAACAAGAAACGTGGATTTTTTAAAGAATATTTTTTCAAGGACCATCCGAACAAGAAACGTGGATTTTTTAAAGAATATTTTTTCAAGGACCATCCGAACAAGAAACGTGGATTTTTTAAAGAATATTTTTTCAAGGACCATCCGAACAAGAAACGTGGATTTTTTAAAGAATATTTTTTCAAGGACCATCCGAACAAGAAACGTGGATTTTTTAAAGAATATTTTTTCAAGGACCATCCGAACAAGAAACGTGGATTTTTTAAAGAATATTTTTTCAAGGACCATCCGAACAAGAAACGTGGATTTTTTAAAGAATATTTTTTCAAGGACCATCCGAACAAGAAACGTGGATTTTTTAAAGAATATTTTTTCAAGGACCATCCGAACAAGAAACGTGGATTTTTTAAAGAATATTTTTTCAAGGACCATCCGAAAAAGAAACGTGGATTTTTTAAAGAATATTTTTTCAAGGACCATCCGAACAAGAAACGTGGATTTTTTAAAGAATATTTTTTCAAGGACCATCCGAAAAAGAAACGTGGATTTTTTAAAGAATATTTTTTCAAGGACCATCCGAACAAGAAACGTGGATTTTTTAAAGAATATTTTTTCAAGGACCATCCGAACAAGAAACGTGGATTTTTTAAAGAATATTTTTTCAAGGACCATCCGAACAAGAAACGTGGATTTTTTAAAGAATATTTTTTCAAGGACCATCCGAACAAGAAACGTGGATTTTTTAAAGAATATTTTTTCAAGGACCATCCGAACAAGAAACGTGGATTTTTTAAAGAATATTTTTTCAAGGACCATCCGAACAAGAAACGTGGATTTTTTAAAGAATATTTTTTCAAGGAAATTATTTCTCAAATGAACGCCGTCAAAATCTGTTACCGTGGCTTCCTTTTTGTGTGGATTGTTTTATGACTTTCCTTTTAATTCACCACTTCCTTGTCCGATGTTGTTGATGTTGTTTTCAACATTGTTTATTGATGAACTAACTGACACAGAGAATACAGTTCATTGTGTGAGAGAGAGAGAGAGAGAGAGAACAGGAATTTGAGCATGCATGCATTCTGCCGCTCGTTTATTATTTTTGCATTCTCTCGCTCATGTTTGTTTGTTGCTAGAATTTATCGTCAAAACATGTTTTGACAAACAATTTTGAGCGGTGTAGGAATAAAACTGTGGTAGAAGAATAAAGGTAGCTGCATCAACACTTTGGAACATTGATATGTAAAAAAATTTAAAATATTTTGATAAAACTAAGTAGATTTTTACATGTTTTCTTATAAGACTTTTAAAGAATATTCTTTCAAGGCCCATCAGTTGATGAAACGTGGATTTTTTAAAAGAATATTTTTTCAGGCCCATCAGTTGATGAAACGTGGATTTTTTATAGAATATTTTTTCAAGGCCCATCATTTCATGAAACGTGGATTTTTTAAGGAATAGTTTTTTCAAGGCCCATCAGTTGATGAAGCTTGGATTTTTTAAGAATATTTTTTTCAAGGCCCATCAGCTGATTAAACGTGGATTTTTTAAATAACATTTTTTTCAAGGCCAATCAGTTGATGAAACGTGGATTTTTTAAAGAATATTTTTTGTTGACGAAACGTGGATTTTTTAAAGATTATTTTTCAAGGCCCAACAGTTGACGAAACGTGGATTTTTTAAAGATTATTTTTCAAGGCCCATCAGTTGACGAAACGTGGATTTTTTAAAGATTATTTTTCAAGGCCCATCAGTTGACGAAACGTGGATTTTTTAAAGATTATTTTTTCAAGGCCCATCAGTTGACGAAACGTGGATTTTTTAAAGATTGTTTTTTTTAGCCCCATCAGTTGATGAAACGTGGATTTTTTAAAGAATATTTTTTAATATTTTTATTTTGTTTATTTGTTGTTTTGTTTAAAAGATTTATTAAAATATTCTAGTCTTTAAGAAAAATATGAAAAGGCGACCAAAAACCAATAGCATCAAAATCCACAATCGATTACCAAAAGTCATCTTTACGATGTTCACCACTGACAAAACTTGCCATCGATTTTTCTTGACTTTTCAACACCAAAAGTCGATAGTCGACCTAGTGATCCCTTACTGACCACAGCAGTCCGAATTGAAGTTTGTAAGCGTACGTTTGTGTTGTCGATGTTAAAGCGGGTGCGTTGTTCGTCATCGTCGTTGTTGTTTATAAATGAGAACAAAACGTGTGACGGCCGAAACAATTAACAAGAAAATAAAAAAAAACGAATAAAATACAACAAATCCCCATAATAAACAACAATCAACGACGGGTGAAATATAATCGACTACCTTTCGGTGGGAATAAATTGTGATTCTGTGTCATTATTTAATTAAATCGGGAATAATTCTATGGAAAAGTGATGAAATAGAAATAAATTGCATAGCTATAATAAAAATCATAATAGAAAAGAGAGAATCAATGCTAATTCTAAATCAAAGCCAATGAGAAGAAAATTAAGAATGTGATGATGATTTTCGGTATTTTTTGAAAAAAAAAGCAGGTTTAGTGATAAAGTGTTTTTTCCTGTGTTTTCGACCAAGTAGTTTGTGAAAAGCAAATTGGAAAAATAAAGAAAAAAATTTCCAAGAAATCAGGAAAAAAAGTGATTCCTTTGAAAGGAAAGTGTCCAATTGAAGTGAGTGTCTGTCGTGTAACAAATTGAAGTTGAATTTAATTTGGTGGCGAACGAGTAACACCACACGGTTACTCCGGCTAAACTGGCTGGCTGGCCTGGTGTAAATCTTAAACAACAAAAAAAGCAAGTTAAACATGGAGTAAATAAAAAGTGAAGTTTTGGAAAATCTAAATATAAAAAGTATTGAAAATCAAGGAAATTTGTGCAAATTAAAATCGTGTGTTCCCCCACAATTCCTAAAATTGTTTTTGGATTACTTTTGTTTTTTCGCCTTCTTCAAATCTCCCATCTTATCTGCTGCTCCGCACAAAAAAAAATCAGGTACCTACATAATATTATTACTAATATTCTAGGTTTATTAACTAATTATCCCCCACCTTTGCTTGTTATTGTTGCTGACGAGCAGACGGACTGGCTGGCCGTGTATTGACTTTTTTCTTCTTCATCTTCTCATTTTTTTGTATTCTTCAAAAGATTTTTTCTCGTTGTTATGTGTTTTACTATTATTTTTCTTTACATCGTCTTTCCAGCAGTACAAAACAAAAAAAAAACAAACAAAAAAGAAAAAGAACAGCATCCATCTTCCAAATTCACAATAAAAACAAAAACAACAAAGGAACCCATTGTTTTTGCGTTTGCGTCTGGCCGCTCCACTCGGTATAAAGGTTTTTTGTTTGTTGTTATTGTTTTTCGTTTCGTTTCCTTTGGCCAAATTGTTTACTTATTTTTTTTTTTTGTTGCTGGATATTTGCATAATTTTTATTTAATTCTCTGTGTGGTAAATTTGGCTCTCATGAGTGGTGGGTAGAAAATAAATCTTCTCTTCTACTTCTTCATTAATTCATTATTAAAATATAAACGTAGATGTTTTATTAATAAATAATTTACAAATAATAATAAATATTTTTTTATAATTTCTCTTCATAAAACTCCCTTTTCTTTGTTTGTTTGTGTTTTATTTCTGTCTTAAAACACCAAACATACCTTTTCTTGGCTGCTGGTGCTCTCTCTCTGTTCCCCTCACACACTCTCTCTCAGAGTTTATGTTTTGCTCCTTGTTGCCAATTCAATGAGAGCCTAATTTGTTATGCTTTGCTCATTGTTTACATCGTTGCCACCTGTGCCATAGGAATGCAACAATTTGTCTTTTGTGATAAAAGTAAATAAAGGTAGTTTTATTTGTTAAAATATTAATCTTATATAACATAATTTATAATAATTCATTTCATTATTGATAAGGTTATTTAAAATCGAAATCATGGGTAAAATTTCACCAAAAGGTATTATTTGGAGCAATCCATTTTGCAACATGAAAGATTTAAAAAATGTTTTTAATTGGAAAACAATTGTTAAATGACTAGTATCTCCAGGAAAGATAAAGGATATTATAGCATTTTGGAAAGGTTTGAGTGTCAGCTATAATTTGGCTCTTATTTTGTGGTCAACCATATAGGGATGTTTATGGATTTTGAGGGGTTTTATAAAAATAATCCATGTCTAAAATTTTGTTCCCGAAATCAGGAAAAATACCTCCATTTCTAGAAAAGAAAAATTAAATATCTAAGAGTTTCTACTAAATTAAGTTGTTAGCCCTTAATTTATATTAGTTTTTCAAACGACATTTTGGGGACCGATATCCCGGAAATCAGAAAAAAATATATCCATTTCTAGAAAACAAATTTTTATTAATTAAGTTAGACAACATCATATGTATTACTTTTAAAACGACATTTTGGGGAATTTCTTTTCAGCAGTGAGTCGGATATCCAGGTTAGAGAGCGAGCTATAATTTGGTATTTTCTTTGTAGACCTACAATGGACCCTTTTTCGATTTTTTCCCTTTTTAATCCATGTCCAATGTTTTTGTGAAATCTGGATCCACATATCTAGGAAAAAATTCTAAAAATAGGAGATATGGAAATTTCGTTACCCAGAAGCTCCCAGGATCTCCATTTATTAAAAAGTGGTGAAAAAATTGGAGAGTTGTTCCCAAAGAAGATATGACCTAAGGCGTCTTCTAAGAAGGTAAAGCCTGTCGAAGCTCCAAATAGGTCGAAGATTGCGGCGGAAAACTCCTGTTCAACTGCAAATGACGTATCGAAGAAGACAAAACCTAAGCAGTAATTGATCAATTATTGACTGCTGATTGAAGGGAATATTCGGTACAGCTAAATTTCCGATGAGGTCGAGCAGAGAGGGGTCATTACCAGCCACAACTTATCTTTTTTTAATTTAGAAATTAGGAATCCATTATTTCATAGGTTTCCAAGGAAAAGGTATGTTTTGGCTTATGTCTCAGATAAAATAGGGAAATCGCCCTATATTCCAAAAAATCCAAAAAATTTTGTCAAATCCCAAGATTTCGAGAATCCCATTATCCACTGATAAGATATTTTTTGTTCTATATCTCAGGAACTTAAAAGTAAACGCATACGCCAAAGCAAATTCAGAGAGGCAATTTCCTTTATTTTCCGTAAATTTTTGGCCTGTCGTACAAATTTCGAATGAAATTCCGTTTTTTTTAAACTTAGTTTTCGGCTGGCTTTTTCATAAAAGAATACAAAACTTTATGGGCCGAAATCGATCTATGACAACCTAAGCCTTTTTTTCTTGTTTTTTCTTGATGAAAAAGTCAGTCGGTTACTTATGCCAGAAAAAAATTATGCATATCCACCTTGACCTTACAACCTCTTATCACGCCCGTTGCGTTAGAGTTCTTTATAATCGGAAATACCTATTTATTTGTGCAATTTGCATGTCCTACCACTTTTCTGGGCTTATAAGCAATGCCCTGCGGTATGGCAACATTGTGCGCTCTGTGAAAATTTAGAGACAAAAGTAAACGGAGTTGCGAATTTCTTGTCTATCCCCCCGCAAAACAATTCGTTGAATTATGTATTAAAACTACAAAACAATTTTGACATTTATTACAACATTAAATTAACTCATACGCTTTGTTGTTGTTGGTATTGTTTTATTAAGTTAAATTATGCACAATCACACAATCAGACAATCCAAACATTAAACCAGAAACCCCCTCAAAACACAAGAGCAACAACAATGAAACAGCAGACATAAACAACAAACAAACCCCCATGAACACGACGGCGGCTTGCTTGTGTGTTTCTCATTGAGACACAGACAATTTTCGTTTTCATAGAGGAGGTAAGAGAGAGAGAGCACATTAAAATTTTATGGAGAATTTAATTTTGTTCTCTGACTTCATACACACGCTCTCTCTCACTCTTCTCCTTTGCTGTTTCTCAATAAGAATGAAGTAACTGTCAAAAAATACACAACACAAATGAAGCTAACCATTTGTCTGTCTCTCTCTTAAAAATGTATACAAAATCCACCATATCATAAGCTCTCCCTGAGAGCGAAAGAGACAACTGGTGGCTCGGGTTTAATTGAAAAGTGGAGCAAAGAAAGCGACATAAAGCAAAAACTACGAAATGTAATTTTTTCTGTGTCCATTGTCGATGCACATTCAGCAGCAGCAGCAGAAGCAGCAGTGTTTTGTGGAAAGAAAAAAATTAAATATTTTCAGTTTGTAGTCTACACAGCGAGGTTTAAAAGTGAAAAAGAACGATTCCAATACGACGGGAAACTAAATTTTATTAGAAATCCAAAGAAATTCAATTGTAAACGACTAGACTTGAAGTGAGCGAGTGAGTGAGTGATTGAAATTATGACAGCTGAAGTGGAAATCTATGCCAAAAAAGAACCCCATCTCCGTTCGCTGAAACAGTCAGGACATGTGGGTTTCGACAGCTTGCCGGATCAATTGGTAAATAAGTCAGTGCAAAACGGCTTCGTCTTCAATGTTATGTGTATTGGTGAAACGGGTTTGGGCAAATCCACAATGATGGATACCCTGTTCAACACCAGCTTCGAGTCCACACCCAGTTCCCATACCCTGCCCAATGTGAAATTGAAAGCGCACACGTACGAGCTGCAGGAAAGCAATGTACGCTTGAAGTTGACAATTTGCGACACCGTGGGCTATGGCGATCAAATCAACAAGGATGACTCATTCAAGGCAGTTGTGGACTATATCGATGCTCAATTTGAGGCTTATCTACAGGAAGAGCTGAAAATCAAACGTTCTCTGGTAGGTTGCCATGATTCACGTATCCATGTGTGTTTGTATTTCATATGCCCCACTGGGCATGGTCTGAAGAGTTTGGATTTGGTGTGCATGAAAAAGCTGGACAGTAAGGTGAACATAATTCCCATCATTGCCAAGGCCGATACCATTTCCAAGGCAGAGTTGCAAAGATTCAAGTCGAAAATAATGCAAGAATTGGCCAATAATGGGGTGCACATCTATCAATTCCCCACCGATGATGAGACTGTGGCCGAGACGAATCAGGCCATGAATGATCATGTCCCTTTTGCCGTGGTTGGCTCTACGGAATTCATTAAGGTGGGCAACAAATTGATTCGGGCCCGCCAATATCCCTGGGGCACGGTGCAGGTGGAGAATGAAACGCACTGTGACTTTGTCAAGTTGCGGGAAATGTTGATACGCACCAACATGGAAGATATGCGCGAAAAGACCCATACCAAACACTATGAGCTGTATCGCCAGAAGCGGCTCGAAGAAATGGGTTTCTCCGATGTCGATTCGGATAACAAACCGATTTCGTTTCAACAAACCTTTGAGGCGAAACGTTCAAATCATTTGGCTGAATTGCAGGCCAAAGAGGAGGAGGTACGTCAAATGTTTGTGCAGCGTGTGAAGGAAAAGGAGGCAGAGCTAAAGGAATCCGAAAAGGAATTGCATGCCAAGTTTGAGAAACTCAAGCGTGATCATGCCGAAGAGAAGCGAAAGTTGGAAGAGTCACGTAAGAAATTGGAGGAGGATTTCCTTGAGTTTACCAGGCGCAAGGCCCAGTTGGCCACATCACACCACACCCTGACATTGGGTAAAAGCAAAAAGAAGTAAGAAGTGAAATTCATGGAATTCACGGAAATTTAAGCAAAAGAAAAAGAATAACTACAACAACGCCAACACCAAAACAAACAAACAAATGAAGAAATTCCATTAACAAAGCAAAGCAGCCAGCCAGCCAATGATTGCAGCACAACAACACATAAAAATACATAGGTTTTTTTATTAGTATTTGTATTTTATAGAACGAACAAAAACAACAACAACAACATTTACATATTTAAAATGCTAGACGCATAATTGGAAATTATTCATATAAAAAATATAACTAAGCGAATTAACCTAAGCTAACATTTAGCCAAAGCCAGCCCCTTTGGCTTTTCTCCGCTATCCTGTCCTCACCTTTCACTATCACTTTTTGCCCTCTCACCACAAACCATTTTGGGAAACGAATTTTACCAATTTTGAAGTTCTGTTTTTGTCAATTCGATTAAATTGTTTCTATTTTGTTAATTTGAAAAAAAAAAAAAAAACGGAAAATAGAAATTAAGACAGTGGGTCTAACGAAATAAATTTATTTTTTTAGACCTTCGTACTTAAAATTTGCCGTAAAAATACTTAACAAAAAATTAAAGAAAAAATGGAAAATCACAGTGTTTTTAAAATTAAAGCATAAACCATTTTGGGAAACGAATTTTACCAATTTTGTAATTTTTTTTGTTAATTCGATAAAATTATTTCTATGTTGTTAATTTGGAAAAATGAAAACGGAAAATAGAAATCAAGACAGTGGGCCTCACGAAATAAATTTAATATTTTTTTTGGAGCTTCGTACTTAAAATTTGCCGTAAAAATACTTAACAAAAAATTAACGAAAAAATGGAAACGCGACCCTGTGCGATTAATAAAATGAATTTATTTTAAAAATTTGAAATGTTGAAGCAAACAAATCTAATATATGTTTTTAATTTTTTATTTTTTTTTTGTATATTTTCGAAGTATTTTTGCCACAAGTTTTCGTACAAATCGAAGCTCACCCCAAATACCTAGCCATTATCGAATCTCAAAAATTCGAAATATTTTCGATTTGCATTTCAATTTTTTTTCTTTATCACCTTTCAAAAAGAAAAATCTTCCCAAAATCCATTTGAAGGTATTATTAATTTAAAAAACTCTCCCGAAATGCTCAAGATTTTCAAATCTCTCGAATTATAACCAAACGCTCTATAAACATTAAATTTTCATAAAACAAAAGAATATAAATATTGTTAGTATTTTTTTACTTTATTATTTGAAAAGTAAAGTATTTTTTAAAAATATTGTTCCGCAACGTGTCACGCCTTTTTACCAAAAACCCAACCTCTCTGCTTTAAACTATATAAACCAGCCTAATTTTATCTTTATATCTACCTAGTTATTATTATTATTAATAATATTATTATTATTATTATATTATTATAGTTATAATATATTCCGAAATATATTAATAAATAATTGATATTTAACACGAACAAAATATGTAATAAAAAATATTAAAAAAAAATAAATAAAAAAATAATAAAAAGAGTTTTTAATACAAAAACAACAATGAAAGAATGTGGAGGGAAAGGATTGTCAGACACCAATAAAAAATTTCGAAATCTAGTTTCTGTGCCAATGATTCGGGGGAAGAATTGTCGGACACTATTAAAAATGTTTGAAATCTGTCTATCTATGATCTGTTATCTATATCTGTTATGATTATTCAAATGTTTAACCCCTTATGGAGTAAGTTTCGAAGGAATGGGTCAATATAGGTCATTTCGTATCGGACCTATATAAATATGATTTAAATATTGCGACATGCCAGGTTTGGACTATATTGATAACTTCCTTCACTTTATATGAGATATGTGATAATTTTTAGAAAATCTTAAAATGTGCGTGAGGTACCAGATATAGTCAACCGAAGTATTCCATTATCATACTTCATCTAATACAGATACAAATATTGATATGGGAAAAATTACGAGAAAATCGAATATTTATACCAATTTTTTTGCGAAATCATAAATTTCATATTCATCTCAGGTTTCTGTTTGAGAAAAATATTTAGATATACACTGCCTTTACACGGTGACATTTTTTAACCATGCCATTTTTTTTTGTTGGTAAAAGGTGTAGAGAGACAAGGATAGAAGAAAAAATGGCACGATAAGCCACCGCACAGGGTTACATGCCATTTTCTTTGCATTTCTCTTTTTGCTTCTTCTGAATTTTTTATGATTTTGACATTTCATATTTTTGATGCCTCTCTTTTATTGTGATGTGATGTTTTTAGTGATTGAATTGTATAGTGAATTATATGAAAATTAATCGGAAGTATTAAAAAGTAAAAAAAGAAAGTTAAAATAAAAGTTAATAATGCTATATTTAACACCTCAATAACTTTTTCCATCATTTCTTCTTTAGTTTCACACATTTAATTTTAAATCACTTCTTTATAAATATCTGTTACAAACAATTAGCTCTATACGAAATACTGAATAAAATAAAATGTCAGAAAAAATGGCAAGCACTATTATCGTAAAATGCCACCGTGTAAAGGCGCGAAGATTTACGCAGAAATTTTAAAAGAGAATTGATAAAAATGCCAGCTAAAAATTGCACCGTGTAAAGACAGTGATAGCATGGCGTAAAGAATCGCTGACTTGTTTCGCAAGTTATGACAGATATAAATACAGGGTTGCCCATATTCGACGGACCCATCTGGCAACGCCATAACTTTTGACAGAGATGTCACATCGCTTAATGACATACCGCGTTTGAAGCGTCAGGCTAAGCAGATTTTTACCATGAACCAATACACGCCAAGCGAGTGCTCTGAAATAGTTGAAATTTACATTCAACAGAACAAGTCAATTGTGAAAACTCAACGTGCTTTTAAAACATTAAAAAATGTGAGAAGTGCGCTTTCTAAAAACACCATTAAGCGTTTATACGAAAAATTTTCGACTGGTAGGGCTCTTTCTAATCCGAAGAGGCCATATAAAAGTCGACCAAGGCGATCGGCCGAGAATATCGCTGCCGTACGAGCCAGTGTTGAGAGGTCCCCAAGAACATCCCAAAAACGCCGTTCTCAGCAGTTGGGCATGGCTCGGTCCACTTTACAACGGATTATTCGCATTGATTTGCATTTGTTCCCGTACAAAATTCAATTGACGCAAAGAATGGCGCCTGCGGACAAGCCTCGTCGATTGGAATGGGTCATGGGTCCGTCGAATATGGGCAACCCTGTAAGTATTGAAATTTGTGTCATTTGTGGATGAGGTACCAGAATGTGTTGGCAGATATATATCATCTTCACAACAGATCTTGCGTTAGCAAAAATGTTTGTATGGATGAAATTTGAAGAGAGTTGAATGTTTATTACGTTTTTTTAGTCGTTTTGTTTTTCAATTCAAAATCCTGAGCCCTATGTGGGGGATGTACCAGAAGGAGTGCGCCGATATATTCCATCTTCACACCCGATTTTAGGTTAATAAAAATATTGTGAGGACAATCGGACTCTTACACCACATTTAATAGGAGTTATATTTTGATCCTTTGGGAAAGTGTTTGATGAAGTGGACCGATGCTGTCCATTTTTGCACATGCCTTAGCAATGATGAAAATATTAGGATTTGCAAAGGTAGAGTAAAATCGGATTATTCTTTCTCCTTCTGTGCAGAAAATTATTTTCTTTAATAATTTTTACCTTTTGTGGGGGATGTACCAGAAGGAGTTGGCCGCTTTGGCCCATCTCCGAACTCGATCTATGTTTGACAAAAATTTTGCTATGTACCAAGTTTGGACCAAATCGGATAATCACCAGCGCACACCCCAGCCAGTCGGACGGATGGACATCGCAAGATCGACTCCAAATGTCCTGAAATGGATTTGGTCAAAAGAGACCTAGGGTCTAAAACTTTTATTTGAGGCATGTTTTGGCCCACTTCAATATATACCCTCTCCAGCCATATGGCTGAGGGTATAAAAAGCAAACACATACTTTTCACTTATGAATGTAATGTTTTCGAATGTAATTTTCTTTAAAACTATTGTACCTAGAGAAATGGTTTATTCTAAGATTTATAATGAAATTTTGTATGGAATATTTCTTCTTTTGACACCTTTCGCCTAAAACGAAATTTTATGTTTCTTCGAATCGGCGATTCGAATCAAAAAAATTGGCAATATTTTGGGAAGAATGTTTTGTCAATATTTTTGTCTTTGACAACATCCTTCTAAAATGATGCTTTGTTGAAGATTTTTGCATAAATTCGCATAAAGTTCAGCTTTAAGCCTAAAATGATTTTTTAATGCATAGGATTTATTGGCGTTTAGATGCGATTTAGAAACTTGAGGTCTTCTACGACCTATAGTAGAATTTTGTAACAAATAATTTTTTGAATATTTTGACTTGTTACGATCCCGTTTAAAGGGACTTTTTAACAATATTTCCAAAAAAGGACCATACAAAACCCTTTGTTGGATGATTTTGTTTCGATATAAATTTTTCTCGTTTTCTTATCTGAAATATAAGCGGATGAATGGATACAGTGAATCTATATCCGAACAAATCCAAAATTGTGCAATAGGGGGAACTTGCACCTCGCCTCCTCTATTTTGGTCACTTCAATGTAAACTTAAAAAAAAAACGAGGCACGTGTCTTCTTATTTACCTCTAATTTCATAATTTGCTGGGTTTCCCCGTGATTATGGAAAAAAATCATTCAGGATGTTAGAAACATAAAAAAGGTTATGAGAAGAAAGAAATTTCCAGTTGTTGAGAAGAAAGAAATCGATAAGGGATAGCCAAGTTAAATTTTCAAGAAACTGCAGATTTTTTGTGGATTTAATTCTTCAGGTGAGAAAGGAAATTTTGAATCTGCGGATGCTCGAAGTGGAAAAGGTAGATCAAAGATTAATAGAAATGGTAAACCTGTTCGTCCCAGAACACTCCTAGAAGTTTCAATGATGTTTCTCGATTCTACAAAGTATTTCGATTTGAATTTCACTATAACCCCTGTTCAACTGCCCAAAAGTGTAATTGTTTTGGGTCGACTAACCCAGAATGGTTTGGAGGGCTTCGATATCGTGCACATTGTTGGACCAAGTAACGAAAAATGAGAAGTGGCGAATAATTCTGTTAAATAAATCGATTTTTACACACATCTCTG